ATAAAGATAATAATTAAGTATTATGTTAAAACTCAATGATTATCCTAATTATATTTTAGATTTTTTATATTTAAAATGAGATGTTTATCTTGTATTTGATTGTATTTATCTGCAGTTAGTTACATGAATTCAGATATTGAGCTTTAATAAGTTGTACCTACGCATAATTTACTTGTAATCTTGAGTTTTAAGTAATATGCATTAATAAACAGTACTTTACGCATAAAAAATGGTTTTTAAGAGTTTTTGTCAAATGATTTATAACATAAAATATATTTTTTTATTATATAATTTAATTTAAGTCTAATAATAAAACAATTTATTTTTGKTTTAATATTATAAAATTTATAAATATAATAATTAAGTATTCTGTTATAATTTAATGATTATACTAATTATATTTTAGATTTTTTATATTTAAAATGAGATGTTTATCTTGTATTTGATTGTGTTTATCTGCAGTTAGTTATACGAATTCAGATATGAAATGAAATCGGATATGGATGAAATCGTTTAGGGATGAATGAGTTTAAGAGTTTTAAGAGTTTTTAAGAGTTTTAACCAAATGTTTTATAAGATAGTAAGATATATATATAATAAAACAATTTATTTTTGGTTTAATATTATAAATTTTATAAAGATAATAATTAAGTATTCTGTTAGAATTTAATGATTATACTAATTATATTTTAGATTTTTTATATTTAAAATGAGATGTTTATCATGTAGTTGATTGCGTTTATCTGCAGTTAATTACATGAATTCAGATATGAAATGAAATCGGAAAGGGATGAAATCGTTTAGGGATGAACGAGTTTAATAGTTTTAAGAGTTTTTAAGAGTTTTAGCCAAATGCTTTATAAGATAGTATATATATATATATATATATATATATATGGGGTATATTTCTTTTGCAACCTTGTGTATTTGTACAACCCTTACAACCCAATTAATTGAGATATTTATAGAAATGATGGGAGTTCATTTATTATGATTTGAATATTTATGGAATATGAATATGGTTCATTAATTATGATTAATACTTTATATTATGAAACAATCAAAACTTCTATGAAATCACATATTCATCAAATGAAATGGACGGTTGAGATTGGGTTGTATTGGTTGCATATATATATATATATATATATATATTGTGGGGTAATTATGTCTTTTACAAAAATGAAATGGAATGTAATTTAATTTAATTTATTCTTCTTTTTTTATGGAATGACCAAATGTATGAAACATATAATGTGTGGAATTCGGTTTCATGTAAAGCATGGATTCAACAGGGGTTCTCGTTTGAACCTCCACCTATATATATATACACGTTTGAACGAAAATTTGTTAACACAATTGACTATTCCAATTCTTTTTAGATTTCATAGAAATCTCCCAAAACCATATGCCCTTTTAAACTTGGAAACCCTTCCCAAACTTTGAATTTTTAATATGTATACTTCAGCTCTAAATTTATGAAGAGGGCCGGACTTATAATATCATGAGCGGGTCTCGTGCACGTGCTAAATCTTATTTTATAAGAAAAATAATGGGGTACGAAGGTGCTTCAGTTAAAATTCGAGCGATGCTCCGGAATTTTTTAAAATAAACGAACATCAACCAAAAAATTAAAAAGTCCTTTAAAATAAAGCAAAAACCGAAAAAAAATCTTTTGAAATCAACAAAAACACATAAATGATCGTCGAAATAACTAAAAAAGATCGTTTGAAATTAACCAAAAAACTTTAAAGAAATTTCTTGAAATTATGGAATTCAACTAAAAACATATTAAAAATGACTTTACATGTTTTTGATCCACCTTAAAAGTATATCGGATTGAGAACAAATCTTGGATTTGCTATTGTTTATAAATTTGTTTTCATTTAAGAAAGTGTTAAATTTACATTTTCAGCCATGTGCTAATCTAATATATTACTTTTCGAATTTTACAATATGGTCCCTAAACTTTACAACAATGTTATATCACTCCCTGTAAATTATTATTTTTAACCCACTGTTGTGACCTATTCTCAATCCTTATAATTTTCATGTATTTTAACCTATAGCAACCCACTGGTCTCGTTAAGTTCCAAGAATATAGGTTTAATTTTTAATCATAAAATATTAATATATTCATACTATAATAAATGACAAAACCACTCGTAGGGCATTTTATTCCCTGTGTTCATTTCATGGAATTAATTTTAATAACATTAACAATTTTCAAGAACTTGACCAAATCAACTTGAAACATATCAAAATACATATCTGGCATCATAGGAAGTTGGAGACAAATTATCTGGTTATCAAAAACTTATACGAGGTTTAATTACTAGGCGAAACAAGAGGGTTTTCAAAGGTCAATATTACCATGTGAGAGTTTATTTTACAAGCATAACTATTTTTCACAAGGCATTTAAATGTGATTACGAAGCTTTGATGCATCAAATGATGTTACATTTCATAAATTAAACATTTTTATTTCCCATCGTGATGAGTGGCATATTATTGACTAAGTGGAGTCATCAGGGGTTGCCATAAGAGACAAATGGAATTTGGCTGGTTCGGTAAAAATTAACAGTAAAGACATAAAAAAGTTGGTCATGTCAGGTAGAGAAGAGAATAAAGTGAGTAGTACATGCTTGCAAAGATTCTTACACTCGCTTTACATAGTCAACGACTAAAGATAAATTAGAATAAAAGAATCTTAGGCTTGGTTTATTATGTGGATTATATGGTGGTATGCACAGGTTTGCGTACATCCCACCCCCGACCCTATTAGGTTCGTTTAGTTTGTTTTTTAACAATCAATCTACTTCCCAAGCTCTTACCAAAAACTTGCTTATCAATTACAATCAGCTTCCATGTTCATCCTAATAAGACCAGACACCATAAGAGATTGGCATCACGACATCAGAAATTCAAAACTCCATCAAATTCTCCTCGATATGATCCTTAATGTATTAGAATACTAACACCATGCACAATTACCACAGTACAAGTGAAAACATCCATTTTTAAATGACAATAATCAATTCTCAAGTCATATAGAAAGACCGAAAGTAAACACTGCATATGGCAAATGTCCTGATTTCTTGGGACATAATCATATATTCACATAACATCGTACTAGCAACTTAGTTCTTAAACATAGATATAAACATAAACATAAGTGATAGATTATGGCATGTGTTTCAAATGATTGTGCCTTTATTTCACCACTGAGGAGCCCCCTTTACCTTGTGTGTGGTGTTGCTGGGGATACCATATATTTGCCAAAACCAATCATCCCTTTCTTTGGTGAAGCTTTTAGAATTTGAAAGGAACAAGTTAACATTTCATCCACATTCATCATTGCTCCATCATTATCAAACTCGTTACAGTAATTTGGTGCAGAGAACAGGGTTACTAGCTGTCGGTTAGCGAAAAACTCATACCCATCTTCAACAACCTAGAAACCATTAAGAAGACGACGAGTAAATGTGGCTATAATTAAACGTTATCTTTTCCCAAAAATAACACACACAGGTTCAAATGAGGACCGTAAATATTCTGATAACCCGAAAACCAACTATTTCATGAATAATGAAAAGCATTCATGAATATTTTTAGGATTAGATGAAAAATTCATGAATAGGTGGTTCATAAGTACTCAAAATATTTAAAGTATTCATTTGAACACACCTCAAGAATAATAAGGCACAAAATGCTCAGATTCAACCAACGATTGCATTAGGCATAATCATATATCATTATATTAGCTACCTGATGAGCTCGACAGATTAGTTCAAGACCATGTTTTTGGAGAAATTCTGTAACCTTATCAGCACCAAATGTGTAGGATACACCCCTTTTGTTTACTCCCCATCCTTTCACATCTTTATCGGGATCAGCCCACAGTAAATCACATAGTAGCCCCTCGTCTGGAATGTCAATGGGACGATTTATATTCCGTAGTTGATCCAACCTTTTCAAGTCGGGTGACAATCCTCCATGCATACAAAGTATCTTTTCATCAATAATAGCAGCAATAGGTAGGCAGTTGAAGCATTCAGAAAACATTTTCCAAACACGAACATTGAGTCTTCTCTTGCATTCATCATAGAATCCATATATCCGATTGATGGAAGCACATTCATGGTTTCCCCGGAGAAGAAAGAAGTTATCCTTGTACTTTATCTTGTATGCGAATAGTAGGCAAATCGTTTCAATGCTCTGCTTACCACGATCAACATAGTCTCCCAAAAACAAGTAATTTGACTTGGGTGGGTGCCCTCCAAACTCAAACAATCGTAGGAGATCAACATACTGTCCATGGATGTCGCCTAAAAAATAACACCGGTCAGTATATCCTTTGACCCATGATAAAAGAGAGCCAATTTTTCAGGAAACAAAGGTCTGAATAGAAGTCACCAATTTTCAGTTTTGATTTTTAAAGTCTTTACTAATGTCATGATTTCTATACCTTTTACGAACAAAGTGCAACGTATGAAATTACTTTATACCAGTTATAAATTCCTAGGATCGTATCCAACTTAGTTATCTTTTCTCAGATGACCTATTTAGTTACAAGGCTTAAAAATAACAAAAGCGTACCATTTAAACTCTAGTCTGCACATTGACAAATGGATCTTCAATGAACGAACCTCATAAAGCACTATTACGCAAGCATACATGTTTATATCCATGTGAACAACAATAATCAAGAAAATTAACATGGTTACTACTAACATTTTACGATTAGTTACTTACCGGGTAAGATTTTAGTCCATCAAAACGACATGATATGCAATAATTTACTAGATAAGCTCTTACCGTGGTAAGAGTCGTCGCCTTCACTTACCCGGTAAGAATCTTGTTTCTTGTCTCGTTCTTACCGGGTAAGATTTTAGGTATTTGTCATATTCATCCGTTAAAGTAATGTGACTTGATAAGTGCTTACCCGGGTAAGTGTTTGGTAAACGACATCTAAATATGCAATTATAATCCAGTCCTTCATTTCATTAAGCAGCCACCTTCTAGCTAAGAGGCCTCCTAGTTGGCATTTGGTACATAATTAGATAAGAAAAAACTGGATTGAACTGAATTGAACTAATTATATGTTATTCGTTTGGTTTACTAGAACATGACAGAACAAAATTGTAAATGATCAGATTGTCGCTAAAATATTATTTAAATAATCTAATTATAAAATTAAAATTATTATTTATGATATATATAAATCTCTCTATATATAAACTTATATTTTATATAAGTAAAAAATTATGTAATTTATCTATACTATATTATAAAATATTTGACAAAAACTCTTAAATATCATTTTTATGCATGAAGTACTGTTAATCAATGCATAGTACTTAAAATTTAAGATTACAAGTAAATTGTGCGTAAGTACAACTTATTAAAGCTTCAATTTTGAATTCGTATAACTAACTGCAAATAAACATAATCAAATACATGATAAACATCTCATTTTAAATATAAAAATATAAAATATAATTAGAATAACCATTGAGTTCTAACAGAATTATTATCTTTATAAAAATTATATTGTTAATCCAAAATAAATTACTTCGCTATTAAACCTAAATTAAATTATGATAAAAAATAAAATTAAAGAAATTGTACAAAAAAACGAGAACATTTAAAAAATTAATTTGATATTAATATCAATAAACTTTTTCAAAATTTTATGATATCTTCAAAATTATTTTTATTTAAAAGCAAACATCATCTTTCTGAAAACCACATAAACCGTATTATATCAAGAGAGACAAAATAAAACGAAACATTAAAATGAATATGTATCTCGTTGTATTGTACGAATACCTTTCTAGTATTATAAATAATGTTACTTTATACGTTGTAATTATATTAAGTTATACAACATACATATACATGTAATATTATATTATACATATATTTCATTTATATAAATTATTATTATTACATATATATATATATTTATTATAATTTATGTACAAATGTTAATAAATAATAAAATATTATGTTATATTATAATTATAGTATATGTATAGTAATTTTAAATTCTCTTATGCTATGAGGGTAAAATAGTAATTTTATATTTTCATCCAATATCATCCCACAATTTATATGAAAATGAGTTTTTGCTTTATCTTGTCCTGCCTCATTCTTATCCTATGACATATTAAATGTGGGACTGTCTTTTTTTCTCTAAAGTCTTTATACCAAACGTATCCTTAATTCCAGTTCCCATTGGAGTGAAAGACACTATGTGAGGCAATGCCAGAGTAAAGTGGAGTTAGCAAGTTCCCTCCCTCCTTCCTCCGATTCTTATAGTCAACATAAAAGTATTTTCAACAGAGAGATTTTGGAGATTTTTGCTTCAATTTTTTTTTCCAAAACCTTATTCAAAATGAAGAAAGTAGTTGAGAGATGATGAAAATCTCTAAATTTGAAAATTTATCCGAAAATAATTACTTTGAAAAGATAAATGATTTTTTTAATATTTGCTATCAATGAAAATATTTTAAATTAAATATTTAGGAGACAAAAAATGATATTTTAATAAATGTAATAACATTATAATCTAAAAATAAAAAATTTGTTGAAAGTGAACAAATATTTTGAAATGAAGAAGTTGTAAATGCTTTAACAATTTAAAATTATTAATATACAATTACATATTTTTTTATCAACCTGGATATTCAGCTCGCTATGCGAGCCGACTAATCTCAAGACAATCATATGTTTTACAGATAGCACGAAATCACTACATTTGAACTTTCGTGACCATAAAAAAATTAAATTATTTTAGTGAAAAAGATTTGTGTATTTTGGGTGGCTCCACCAACTCCAACCAATAAGCCTACGGAAAAGCAATAAATATTAACTTTTTTTTTATTAAAAAACAATAAGAAAAGAAAAATGTCAAGATAACTTTTCGAATTATTTATTTTATATTCAACAAAGAATAAAAATAATTAATCATATTGGCTCTTTTTTTCAATTTAATTCCATTTTCAAGCCATAAAAAATAAATTCAAGTAACTGGATGATATTTTTTTAAGTACATTGATCAGGAAAAACATATTTATATTTGACAATTTTATCAGAAAACCTCAAAGATATCATCAAACTGCATTGGTTACGATGGAAGGTGTTTAATACCATTTATTAGAAAGACAATAAACGGATTTTGTTAAATATAGGAAGGAAAATTCATAGTGTTAGTCAATCTCGTTACCGCAGATCTTGATCGGAGCTTTAAGCTCGAGCAAATTAGGCTGGCTAAGGAAAACATCTCGAGAAACGACACAAAGTTTCCGAATCTCCGACTCCGAAAGCACCGCCTGCTTTGGCACAGATCCAACCTTAGCATCTAAAAGCTTCTTGATGAATTTGTCGAGCACCTTATCCTCCATCTCCTCTAAAAGTTAAAATCTCCAGCACTCTCTCTCTCTAAAAAAAAGTGAGTACTACAATATTACTCATTGCATGTGTATAAATTCTAGGCCACCGACCTTTATTAGCTAATTTACTGGTGGTGATTACTTGAACCGTAAATGCACTTAAGACTATCCTTAGCTGCTTTTTTCGATTGCAGTGCGTGACAGTGGCGGTGAGATGACACTATGTTTTTGTTTACTCTCTTCATTTATGCGACAAGTGGAGGACACAAGATATACACGACACGGTATCTATCAAGCAAAAGCTACAATATCATGTGCCGGAGACGAGTAAAGTGGTTAGCCGGAAGATGACGATTTCAATTTTAGATTACATATGTACATTCTAAAAATAGAGAAGCTCTGAACAACCCACCTTTTATTTAACCTTTGCTTAGGTTGATATGTTGAGTCTTATTCCTCAAATCAGGGTCGTCCCTTAGCATGTTAAATATGAGATTTTGAACAGGGCCCTCGAAAATTTGGGGCCCAGATTTACATGTGTTCATGGTTTTTTATCGGCCTGTGTAAAAATATAGCCGAAATTATTTATGTTCAAACCATTAATTGTTTGGTTTTAGCTTCAAATCATTAATGATTTATGTTCAGTTTCAGGTTGTTAATCGTTTTAGGGTTAGTCAATTTTTGTTCTTAACATATATTATTTGTTATCACATTTATGCAATGTAATCAAAAGTTTTAGATGTAACAGAGCCTCCAAAAAATTGGAACGTCCCTGCCTCGAATCAAAGTCTATAATTGTTACAGACGAATGGGTGTTTTAAAATGCTAACGTATTACACCTATTTAATCACATCGGAATGAGGTTTCTACAAGTTTAAAAAAAAAAAAAACCAGTAGTAAACTGTCTGTTAGTATAAGTTATCAGTGGTGATACACAAAATGCATTCAATGGCAACATAGATGAACTTTATAACTACACGGACATTCAATAGCAATCCAAAGTAGATAGGAAGTAGGGAAGCAAAAGTTAACGAAAATGAAATTTACGATTTTTTTTTTTCGAATATATGAATATGTGTTTTATGATAAATATTTATGCATTTCGTATTATTTGTCATATGCAGTATTAAAACAAGTTTTCTTTCTATCTGTAACGCCTGCTTTATATTTCGATGCGATTACATATTCATATTTCGATGCGATTACATATTCATCTTAAGATATAAATATATTCATATTTATTTTTATATAAAAAATCATAATATAATAATTAATACTACACAATATGGGTAGTATCTTTTGCTCATTTAACTTGAAAAATAATACATAGTTTACTTATTTTGACCGAATAAAATGAATTTTTAAATAAAATATTTACAAGATTAATACAAATGGTGTGAAAATAGCAGCGAAGCTTGTAATATATTTCACATAATTGACAGGTTAAAAAGATACAAGAAAAGTTTGGTTTTACGATCATGTATTTTGAAATAACACCTTTAGTACATACAGAAACTTATAAAACGTCTACATGTAATGTGAAACAACTCTAACCTAATAGGTTTAGGGTTTGGTTTTCGTTGAAATGAATGACGTGTTGCAACACTTTTTGACCTATGAAATAGAGATTATGCATGTCAAATTGTGCGTTATCAGGTGATTTGTCGTATATGCGTCATTTTATATGCCGAAATGCCTAATCATTGATAGAGTTGTCACCAACAAGCGTCGTAACATATATATGTTTGTAAATGGATATCAATGCACATATTCTACTCATAAATCCATCATTCACGTGCATATAAAGAACACCTCAAACTACAACGGGTGGGATTTCTTTCGACGTCAATTATAGACATAACCCTGATGTCAGTAGGTTGTTATCTATCTAGGTCATGTCACATACCTATTTCTTAACACCCACAACGTTTAGGGTTTCTTTCATGACCATTACTATCTCGAGGCTATGTAAGAACCCTAAACTCATTGTTACATGAAAGCTGACCGTGCAGATATGGATAATCCGACAAGCATCATTTGATCGATTAAAAAATTAATGTCATTAAGTTCATCTCTCTTTAGTTCCCAATCGTATACACGAACACATGCACATTATAAACCTAGAAGAAGAAAAATGCGTACCCTTGAAAAAACTGACTTAAAAATAATCAACTATTAAAGAGGACATTTGGGCAAAATATGACATAATACTAAAACGACAAGATATCACAAGAATATTAGGATTTCGTTGGACTCTTAAAAACATACTTTCTGATTTATAGTATTTGATTTATTTTTCCATTTAATAACCCATAATCAGATCTTGGTAACTAACTATTTGCAACTTGACAATTTAAATAGAATATTTTTCCAACAATGTAAGTATGAACTGTGTTACTGTTTTATAAAAGTAAAAAAGAATTTATCACCCATGGATTACGGTTATTCATACCGATAACAATCACATAACACCCTTTGTTTATTAAACACGAGCAAAGTGACGCGCTTAACAGAAAGCCAGATACATAAGCACTATTCGGTCTGTAGTAGTGATTTTAAAATATTCCGGATAAAATCAAAAGGGTAAAAATGTGATTTAGCAATTATTAATGAGAAAAATATTAATGATACAATAATTATTATAGAAAATGTTGATATTTAGGATCATTTCAATTAAAAGATGAATAATCTTTTTTATAAGGGAATAAATAAATAATATTGTGTGGATTTGGGCATAAGATTAAATACAGACAAGAAAGGAAAGTTTGGATTAAAATCAAATAGGTCGTATTTTTTATTTTAAAATATAAATTAAGAAATAAATTTTATAAAATTAGAAGTGTGTAAAATGACTTTTCACCCCTGAGCTTATTTTCCTTGGATAAGTGGGGCCCACGAGTTCGCCGGAATATACTCACCGGCGAACCCTACCAACCTTCACTTCGCTCTTTTCCCGAAAACTATATATACTCCTCATAATTTCTTTGCCCTAGCCCAGCCGCAACTACCCTTTCCCCTTTCTCTCTCTCTCCAAAAATCCCCAAATCTTCTCTTTACAAACCCTCGATCAATTGACTCCTTCACTCCAGTTACTCGATCAATTTCAGCTAATCGCAGTTAATCTTCCAGAAATGGTCAAAATTGGGTCTTCACTCTCGAGTTTGGTAGATCGAAGATGACGATAATAGAAGTAGCGACGATGATTTGGATTTCGCGGTGGTAAAATAGATGGATGCGGTGGAGTTGCCACTTCCAGCTGCTATTGTTACAAAGATCATGAGATCGTCTGGTTGCAGTGGTGGAGGTGGGGTTACTAGGGTGGAGTTGCTAGGGAATCAATCGGAGCGTGAAACATGTAGTAGCTCCTTTCATCCGGATACAGGTGCTTAATTTCTCATGTATAAGTGTAGATTTAGTCTATCTGAGATCCGTTTCTGCCCAAATTTGATTTTTACTCGTTCCGTTCCCGAAAAGTTAAGCTTCTACTATGGATGTGTAACCTAGGGCTTTTAAATTGCGGAACTAATATGGGGTTTACTTCAAACTTTTCTTGTCATATCTTTTTTTGTAGTTAGAAATTTTCCTCCGTGAGTTCAAATCCGTGTCAATTCCGAAGCTGTAAAGCAACGATTTTGACATCCAAGTCAAAGTGTAGCTTTTTTGGAAGGGTGGGGAGTAATTTTTTTTGTTAATTTCATCTGGAGTTTGCATATATTACTTTTCACATATTCTTTGGAAAGTTCTGCTGATATCAGTTTCTACCTACCAACAATCGGCCAATAGGGCAAAATTGCATTTGTTGTGTAGTGATTGAAGTCATAGAGGATATAGAAGAGGCATCCTCGACATTCTACGTTTGGCGTGATCACATTGTAGTTTATGCTACTTCATTTTCGTTGATGAGTGATGTGTAATGGGACTTTAGCTTCTAAAGACCAGAGAGAGAGAGAGAGAGTCCTCTTGCATATATTGTTATTAATTACTGTTCAAGCAACCAAATCTTGAATTGTGAACTGAATTGGCTGATTTTTTAGATTAACTGAAAGTTTCTGGGTCCAGGAAAGCCACCAAAGTTAGCGCATATGTTCTTTACTTCTTTTGTAACCATATCACGTTAAAGTGATCATAAAAATATACGTATGGAAAACCTTGTAGCCGAACATATGATAATAGATAAAAGATATTTTTAGCACTTAACTTTCAACTCTCCTCTCTCTCAAGACGAGAAGAAGGAGAAAGAATGTGAACATAAATTGTACAAGCTGTTCTGTTTTCCTCATTTCCTCGTTGTTTGCTATTTGAAAATGAGTGTGCGGTCAAAATGGAATGATAGTTCGTTTGTCACTTATTGTTTGTGTGTTGCAGTTCATTAATTCATTGCGTTTTGGGAAGGAAATGCGATATGGTCATAGTTTTATTTATTTGTAACTTAAGCTTCAGATTAGCAACAAACTGCCTTTTTAGCCTTTTAGTGTTGGCTTTATTCCATTCTATTGTCTGTTTCGTAATTGGGATCCTGGTTTTTCTCTTCATATAATTAAAAATAGTGTCAATTTTTGGTATGCTTAGGTGCCTTTCCACCAGCCAAAGAAAATATATCATGCTAAATGATTTGTAATATATGCATGCACACATCACAGATGAAAGAAGTATTTGGCTAATATCTATGAATGTTTGCTCTTATATTGAGATTTGACTTAACACCATAATTACTTGATACTTGCATTACTAGTACTAATGCTTATATGAATCAACGTGCATGGTTGTGACAGATGATAAGTGTAATGTCAATGGTTCAAGACCAGCCTTTTGGAACATGATGTCAGATTACAGACAAGCCAGTCAATCGGCTAGTCTTCGAAATGAAGAAGCATTCATAGACCATGATATGGCCTCTGTGCCAGAGGCTAAGCAATCTCAACGGAAGTCTGGAAAAGCAGCTAGAAGTAATGGTAGTAGTTCTAGGAGGTCACGAGCAGCACACATGGAAGCTTCTTTGAATGTAACAGGAGTAGTTGATGTGAATGATCAATCAAAGGAGCTAGGATCTTATCCTGGAAAATGCAGCATTGCAGGTAAAAGCATCTTTCTGGATGGGTAAATAGTAATAAGTTTTTTAAAAGGAGAACCACTACTTGCTGGGATCTTTATAAGTCCATAAACTCTGAATAATTTTAATATACAAACAACAATACTTGGTGGTCTTTGTTACATCGTCATTGGTGTAATGCATGAGCTTACTGATAGTGATTAAGCGACATTGCCTTAAATCAAAGTGATTTCCTTTTCCTTTGTAGTGTAAAAAGGCTGCCTTTTCTGTTTGAAGGTGCAAAGAGGTGGCTTCTCTTTTGATGACTGAGGTGGCCTTTTGTGAAATCACAAAGAAGCTTCCTTTGAGTTGCTCATCATATTCATTGCATTTAGCTTTTTAATGGATGTGCAGTTACAACATAATTGTTTTGTGTAGTAACTGCTCAAAGTTGTATGGTTTGATGCTGCAATCTTAAAAAACGACTTACAACTTCCATCCCGATATCTTAAATATTGTTGTATTATGTTATAGGAACACATATTCTGCTATTTTGCATAAGCCTTCTTAGTAAGGAAGATTCTTTTGGATGGTCCAAAACCGTAGATATATCTTGTCTTTGACTACCGCAAACGAATAATGAGTGTCATTTGGAATTTGAAAGTCATTATGATTCCATACATGAAGCAGTTCTAATTTTGTTAAATATACATAAAACATTGGATTTTCATCCTTTTTTGTTTCACTAGGATCCTCATTCTGATATATGCACTTTAACTTTAGTTGGTTGTCAACACTTTGTCTGAGGTGATAGAGAGGATAACTTCTTCCTGAACCTTGCCCTTTCTCAAACTGTTTTTTCGTACATTAGGATTTAAAGTCATTATTATAATTATTTTGAAGCTACATTAGAGTAAAGTGTAATCCATATGCATATATGTCTCTGGTATATGCATACCTGTCAAAGGATCCTAGTTTCATCATGGAGCTCTGCACCTTACCCACGTAGGATACTTTATTTTTTTGAAGGTTCCTATCGTCAACTTCTCTATAGCTTATTGTTTGAAATCCTAATTGCCAATAAATGAATGACGAGGAACAGTTCTCACAACGGAACTTCAAAAGTAGTAAGGAACCAGGCATTTGATTTGTGTTTCAGCTATGAATCTATGCTCTAGAAATAGCACCAATTTTAGAAAGATATTTCTACCTTATATTGGCACTTCTAAACTGCAACTAAAATCTCAACCTAATTTTGTTTGGTATCTTTTTTGTGGTTAAGCTATTATAATGTTATGTTTCTTGCATATCTTATACAAAATGCACCTATGTTCTCCACTTGTGCAGTTGTGCTGCATTGCAGCTTGTGTACATTACTCTGCATTATGCAATCAGTAACTTAGGTATAAAGAGATTTGTTCATAGTGTAATCTTCAATATGATCACACAAAGGTGTCACCTAAATTTGGTTCCAAAATAAGAAGACAGTGCTTAGATTGACACATTTCTCTTTTAACTCTTCTCTTTCTTATTATGTCAATAAGGAAATAATTATCTTATAGAGCTAGGATATAGATGCTTAATACTTAAAAGAATTCTGTTTATATGACCACTTGGCTATGTGGTTTCTGATCTTATTGCAAAGGAATTTCCATGTTTTTTTTTCTTGTATCTGCTTAACGTCACAATCTCCATAAATCTGCCAAGTTTTTGTTTGTAGTTTCCATGAAGTTGGAAGAAGCTTTCTCTTCTATTAACTATGCATGGTTCTGTTAGTAATCCCCTGGTCAGTAATATCCATGATCTTATCGTACATTGCATTATTACTATTACTACTTCGATGGCCAGTGGCGGATGTAGCCTTTAAGTAATGGGGCAAAGGGCCCCCACTCAAAGATCAAGAACCATGTATGAAGCCATGGACAAATTATATATATATATATATATATATATACACACACACACATATATTATGTTTTTTGGTTGTGGTTCTCTTTGGTACCCCCATCAATAACACTGCCCCCAGCCAGCCCTACAACTCTTTTTGGAAGTCTCAATCGTCCATTAATGTGCTCCTTTTATATCAATCTTGTTGGGTTATACTAGATTTATTACAGATTGGTTCTGTGTAATATGTTATTTCATTACAAACTAGTTTTGTGGTTTGTTCATTCTAGCCATCTAGTGCATTATGAATAACTTGAATTTTGCATTAATGTGTAATGCATTTAATTGTGTTGGTCTAACCAAAATAGTAAAATATACAAAACAATAGTATAATGTGTTATTCGGTTTAACCGAAACAGTAAAAAAGTAACCAAAAACCGAACTGAATAAGTTATCCTTATTCGTTAACCGAACCGTCTTGGTTTGGTTGGGTTATTTGGTTTTGGAATTTTTTGACACCCTTATATGTGCCCCAGTAGCCTTAGTTTCTGGATCTGCCACTGTCGATGGCCCTTCTTAGTACTCTTAACACTTTAACATTGTTCCTATATATATGCTGACTCTTTATAATTACAGAGAAGACGCATACGGCTAAGCAGAAGACGACCATCTCTGGGAAGCGAAGTGATAAAAGAAATGGTAAAGTTTCTAAGAGCAAATGTGATTCTTTTTCTGTAAAAGTGGGGTTGTCAAGCTTCAGTTCAGCTGCTGGTGGAAATAACATACTTGGTATGGCTTTTTTTTTGGCAATACATTATCTCTGTTTGTAGTTCTGGTTGAAATTTGTATCTATGCTGTTATGCTTGTATCATCTTCTCCTATGGATTATATACACATATAAACAGATCCAGACCTGAAGTATCTACTTTTTGAATATTTTATGTTTGCTTCGTTTTGTAGGTTAACAATGAGAAATACATAAAATTAAGTGTCACCTAGATAAGAGTATGCTCATTGTTCAATGTGAGTGCACCAATTAAGATTATTCTCACTGAGATGTTCATGAAACTATTATAACAAGCTTGATCTTTAATGTTCATTCAAGTACAAAAGAATGAGAAATGGATAACTTATGACATTACATTAACACTAGTTAGTTGCTATTTGGTTGGTTTTCCATTAAGTCCTTCATGGATAAAGTTGTATGTGTGGATTAATTTGTCTGTATGGATTGGGAAGGTTTTTGACTTTTTGTTTGAGAGGGTTTTTTCATAGATCGAAGAAACTTGTTTTCTAATTGAGAGGGGCAGGTTCGGCAAAAACTTGGCTATCTGCATAAAGCTCCTCCTAGAAGCTTATTGAATAAGCCACTTCTTATATCATTAAGCCACTACCAAACAATCATGTATAGCTGACTAAATAAGCTGTGAGGCCCATTAAGCTCATTAAGCTGCTAACAAACAGGCCCTTAGTTGTAATGTGAAGTGTACCAACTACCAAGTTAATATTGTTGATGTTTGGATGTCCATGTACCATTTTGAGAGATTGATCTGTAGCATTTATTTTAATACTATCCAATAATACTTGTAATTTTGTAAATGCACATTCTTTACCACCTCCACATCCCCATGATAATTGCACTCTTGCATGCATAACAAATATGTGTTGCATTGCACCAACCTCCATCGATGTTCAGAAATTAGCAGATGATGCTGATATGTGATCTGGCATGGCTCGAATAACCAATTCATACTAGCATATGAAATACAAGTTCAATTGACAAGCTTCATTGTGTGTTTTCTTATTGACTTGGTCTTATTCTACTAAAGCAATTTACTTATGAACCATATGTGGTAACTCCTTTTAGACTTTATAGCCTGTACAGCTATGTAATTATTTGCCAAAACTGTCGAACCACATAGCTCTACACTATTGAAGAAGTAGAATCCTTAATATTAGGCTTTTCCCGCCTTTCAACTTGCTGGATTTGTGTTCCAAGTGTGGATTATAACTACCTTGTTGGTTATTGCTGGCATAAGAAGTTCTCCATCTCATAATCTTATCAAGCCGTCATTGTTGTAACCTATACTTTTAGGGTGCGTTTGGTTCCCAGACAGGATAAAACAAAACAGAACAGAGCATCTGTTCAATGTTTGGTAAGATAGGACTGGACAGAAGAGGATGGTAAAATGACGAATTTTACCTTAATGAGTTATTTATATCTTTTCTATATTTTGATTAATATGTATTTTATTAAATTATAAAAAAGTAAAGAAATTTATATAAAAAAAATATTATTGTAAAGTTTTCTTCAAGACGATTAAAATGACACACGTTAATTAATTTCCAATTTCTATTTTACACCTTTTCTATATTTTTTTTATCATTAATATTTAATAAATTACATAAATTAACCAAAATATAGAAGACGTATAAAAATAATATTTTGAGGATAGTAAAGTGAAAGTTTAAAGAGGATAAAATACAATAAATAAAATTTAAAGAATGGATAAAATGCAAATAGGGAGACGTATTTGATGTTTTAGAAGAGAATTGGGTGTTATTTTGAGGGTATATTTGTAAAATATGGGCTTGTTCCACCTTGTTCCATGGGGGTGGAGGTGGGGGTGGAACACGCCTGTTCCACTCTGTTCCTGTCTGTTCCACATAAATGTCATGCCAAACATGAAAAAGTGATCTCTTTTCTGTTCTATCCTGTTCAGTATACCAAACGCACCCTTAGCTTTCTCTAGTGATTTTGAGAAAATTATCATCTCATGAAGTTTTATCATATGTTCTTTGTGTGATAAGAAGTGATTGTTTACGGTCTATTAATGCACTTTATACAATGTTCTTGGATTTCTGGTCAGGAGTATATGGTTCAAAACACGATATTTGTGATTTCGCAAAGCATGTAGACGAGCTGTCACTGAATGAGCTCCTCGGTGGTAGTTGCAAGTGTCCCAAGTCCATCAAAGACAAAGAAAAGGAAACAGAAATTCTGAATGGAAGTATTTTGCAATCAGTTAGACAGGCTTGCTCGATTCTTCAGCTCCAAAAGCCTAACCATACCCCGAATGTGGCAGCTATAGATGGTGCTTACAACCATAATGCTTCATCTTGCTTACCAAACTCTGCCACTTCTGGAGCTAGCACAAATGAGGAGAATAAAGGAGATGTGGCAGATCCTGCTTCTTCTAACAAGGTTAGTAAAATATTGTGACTAAAGAACAGCTACCCTACATGGTGGTACAAACTAATACAAGTTAGCAAGTCCTATAAGGATAAAGTTGTCTGTTTGGATTAATCTGTATAGATTGGGATGGTTTTTTGTTTAGGGAAGGTTTGAAAAAACTTGACTTTCTACATAAAGCTCCTCCCTCGAAGCTTACTGAATAAGCCACTTTCTATATCATTAAGCCACTTTCTGTATAAGCTGTGAGTCCCATTAAGCTCGTTAAGCTGCGAACAAACAGGCACTTAATATGATGTGGTTTTGTAATCATGGGCTTGGTGGTTCATAACTCAATTATGCTGTTTAGATAAGTTTGCTTTGCCTCCGTAGTCGGTCCTATTTTTAGAATCTTAGATCAATTATTGATGTTGGACTTGGACTGATGGCATATCATGTCCAACTTTCTGGATCAATTGCAAGAATTGATTGCATGCGGATGTGGACACATGATGGTGTTGTGTCTCATTTTTCTTTCCCGTACCCTAAGGTTTTGTTTTGGAATGCTTTCATATTTTGTTTTCTATTTACGTTTTTTAAGTGTAAACTGGATAGAAAAACTATGTTCTGCAACCGCTTATGTTTTTGGATGACCAAAAAAGTTGCTTACAATTTTTTTGTAGATGCTATAGTTGAAATCACATGATTTTGATGTATTCATGTTTTTTACAGAACTGGTTAATTAATAAAAGCACGTGTTGACTATTTGTATCGGTGAGCATGAACTTTCAATGCGTGTTGAACATAATCTCTCTCTCTACACGCACACACACATACACATATATTATCTCCATCAAACGTGTTTTGAGCTTGTAAGAAATGAAGTCACAACAACATTTTTATTAAACAATAGATACAAAACATAACCATCAAGGACTAAGCATAAAGAGTTTGTCATATTAGAAAGGCTTTGTTTTGACATTTAATATGGATTGATCCCTCTATGAACAACCATATTGCTTTCAGGCTTGCTGTGCTAATTCTTGGTACTTCTAATTGTCCTTTTATATATATATATATATATATATGGATTTTTTGTATACTTCGGTTCTTTGGTTTCTCAAGATCCATTTATGCATTTAACATGAAAGGAACAAGAGCTACTTATGCTTTGAATTTGAAAGACTAGATTTGACTCTGAAAGATGGGTATTGTTGGCACAATCCTTCTCATCTACCCTCTACTGTATTACATTAGCAACTTGATCAAGAACATAACTATCTTTTTTCCTTGCAACCGTAATTCTTTCTTTTTATGAAGATCTTGACTATACTTTATTGTTTGCCTATTTAAGGTGGAGAATTCTTGCTCAGGTCTTACTGATCACACCATACTTAAATTTCCTTTGTTTGCTCCAAAAGATGTATTGGGCCGCCTAGCTCTTCCTCCTCCCAAGGATCTCGATCTTATGCTTCTTGACAATATGAAGCCTTCTTCAACCTCAAAAGGTATCTATTTTTAACTATATAATATTTATATACTGTAAATACTCACGCACACTTCCCACCTTGTTGAGGTTTGAACCCTTGACCTCCTGGGCTCTACCAGTAACCGGGGTACCGTTGGACCAATGTGCAAGATCCCACATTGGTTGGGGAGGGGAACTAAGGTTGCCTTATAAGGAACTTGATACCTCCTCTATCAGATGCGCTTTAAAACCGTGAGTCCAAGTGTTGACAAAACGGACAATATCTGGTACAGTTAGCCTGGGATGTTACAAATGGGTATCAGGGCTAGGTACCGGACTGATGTGCCAACGAGGACGCTGGGCTCCTAAGAGGGTGGATTGTAAGATCCCACATTGGTTGGGGAGGGGAACTAAGGTTGCCTTATAAGGGAGGGATACCTCCTCTATCAGACGCATTTGAAAATCGTGAGTCCAAGTGTTGACAAAACGGATAATATCTGGTACGGTTAGTCTGGGATATTACAAATGGTATTAGAGCGGAACCACACTAATGTGCCAGCGAGGACGTTGGGCTTCTAAGGGGGGTGAATTGTAAGATCCCATATTGGTTGAGAGGGGACCTAATATTGCCTTACAAGGGACTGGATACCTCCTCTATCAGGCACAATCTAAACCCATGAGTCCAAGTGTGGACAAAACGGACAATATCTGGTACGTGCTAGCCTAGGATGTTACACAATGACCCTTTGATAGGTATCTTTATCTACATTAAGCCATACTCAATGATGAATATCTATACACACACTATAATGTGCTATTAACGTTTTTATCGACACCAGTACACAATGGAGGTACTTTACCTACATTTCCGTGGTCGCACGTCTCTGGAGGGCATTTTAAAGCTAATCCCGATGTGGTCAAGTCAACACCAAGTAAGAGTACCTGTCAAGGTAGATGGGTCAGAATGCGGAACTCTACTACTTCTTTAGGGGACACTACTACCTATCTTGCAGATTTCGAGTCCCTGACTTATAATCAGAGCCTAGTTCCGTTAGGATGTCAACAGCCAGGACCGATCGAAAAGGAAAAATCTCCATTGCCATCTATCAGCGATATAACTTTTGATGGAGGGCTAACGCCTTCTGGGAGTCGCACAACTTCTAAAAGCCCAGGTAAGCTTTCCTTCTTTGGCCCCGTTTCTTGGTTTAATTATTGGTTTGAATATATGATTCTTGAACTCACTGATTTTAGTTGTTACTACTCAAACATATAAACCTGTGAAACGTTGGGTGGTGTAATTTTTTTATTTAGGATCTTGTTCTCGTATCTGCCACGTAGCATCACCCTAGACCATAGTTAGAACTCCAAGTAGCTTAGTATGGCTTGGATCGGGATTGACCCAAGCGAACATGAATTCTTTTCTCTTTGAGATGATCTTTTAGGCTCCTGCGATTAGGTCGACGTCATGAAGATCATCTAAACTCGTTTTATGCTAAAAATTTGCTAGTCTGAAATATGATAAATAAGGTGATGATCATTAAGTCACTACTAAACAGTCATGCATAGCTGACCAAATAAGTTGAGCCCCATTAAGCTGCTAAGAAACAGGCCCTTACTATGTAAGACTCTCGGTGACTTATTGAGAAAATGGATTAGCTTCTAGGAGGGAGCTTTATGCAGAAAGCCAAGTGTTCTCCAAACCTACCCTCCCATTTAAAAAACATGGTCCTCTCATTTACGAAAAAACCCTCCCACAGAAAAACCTTCCTAATCTATACAGACAGATTAATCCACACAGATAATTTTACCCATACAAGACTTAATGTAAAACTAACCAAACAGCACCCAAGCGAGGAAAGAGTTTTCTTACCTGGTACGCTCTTACTGGGTTTAAGATGCTTACCAACAATCCAGTTTGATAGACGAGAATGTTACATGATAAGCTAAATGAGATAGTTTATCTTGCCGGTAAGTATTTAGTAAACGGCTCCTTAATCTTTACTTATAATTAAAATAAGTGAAAGGTAATTCATCTTCTCGAGAAACCCAGAGTTCAAGCTTGAATGCAAGGACTTGAGTAGACTTATGAAAAGTTCGTCAAACCGATATATTTATGTCATTTTCTTTTCATCGACCCTGACTCACTGAGTCAAGTTCTTCCATGACATCCTATTTGTTCTTCCACAGCTCCGCATTCGGGAGGGGTATTAGCTGCTGCTCAAACATTATGCGACATTGCATCTCGATTCCGTAAACAAGATCAAAACGGGACTGTCCGATGGCAAAAGAAATCTTCCCAGAAAACAATCAAAGCTAGCAAGTTGACTTCCGACGAAAAGCTCGAAAAAGCATTATTCGCGATCCCAAGTTCAAGATCAACGGGACCCACCAACCCCATCGATGACGCCAACAAGACACACAACACAACAAAGAAACTCAAACTATCCGTTACCGAAAAGATCAACGATCCAAATAAAACCCCATACCATTGGTCTCAATCAAACCGATCGTCACCAATGAAATCTTTCAAGAATACCGCTTCATCCACGGAAGCAGCAGCAAAACAACACCATGAAAGCAGCAGTAGCAGCCCAATGAAGAGATCAATTACAACCCCACCTGCAAGATTACCTCACAAACCTCCGAAGCTCCGAAAACTTGTACCAATGGAATGGAAAAGCCAAAAAGGTAACGGGAACGGCAAGTACTGAAAAAAAGATCGATCGATTCTTTTCGGTTAATTATGTTGTTAAATTAGGTGCATTCTGAATTTGTAGTTTGTTGTACATAATTTTAGGGTTTATGGTGTAGTAGTACAGAAAAAGAGTTCCCCTTGTTGGGTGTAGATCATCTCCTTAATGCTTGTTGTAACTATGTATGTAACAGCAGGGATTAAAAGTTTGTTTTTTTTTTTTGAACCATAAATCTCTTTAGGCCCTTTTAACTTCTCGATCTGGGGACGTTTAGTAAACACTTACCCGGTAAGTATTTATCATGTTTCTAATCGGATGAACGTGAAAAAGATTGAGAATCTTACATAGTAAGAGTAATGACAACGAGAGTCTTACCCGGTAAGTGAGAGTGGTGAATCTTACTCGGTAAGCGTTTATCGGATAAAAATGTAGTATAAGATGTTTTAATAGACTAAAATCTTGTCTGCGAAGTTAAGTTAAAGTGTTTGTTACTCTTTATAGTAGAAATCATATGTGTATCCACATTTGGGTAGGATACACTGAATTGATTTGGTTAGGTTTTGGTTTTTTTTATCTAGAAAACAGTTGATGTGTTTTTGGACTACCGTGGAAAGTGAATGAGCTGTTATCAAACTGGCTCGATTAAGATTTATTTTTGAATTTTGTATTTACAATTTATATACTGTTGGATGAGTTTATTGAACATTACGATATTTTAAAAACTTGGTGTAAAAATATCAGTTAAGATTAGACAAAATAAAAACTAAATAACGTGAACTCGTCTAGACCATTTGTATGACAACAATTTTGTCGGGTTAGTTTCACTGTCGGTAAAATTTGGATTTGGAGAAATCTTTTTTAGAAGTCATCTATTCGAGTCCTACAAACAAATCTAGAGATCCAATGTTAACAATATATATGTATGTATATATATATATATATATATGTATGTATATATATATATATATATATATATGTATATGTGTGTATGTATGTCTGTGAGTTACTTGACTGGTTGAGAAAATACATTTTTCATGATATATTTAGAATAAAGAGCATCATAATATAATTTTATGAGTATGATGACTTGTAATGAGAGGTAAATGAAAAAGTTCTTATTTTTAGGAAAAAGTTAATAATAGTCCAATGAATTATCCTATTTTAGATGATTAAGTTTTTGAACTATTTTTTTAATGAAAAAACCCGTTAAACTTTTTATTTTGAATGATTAATGGTTTTTTCATTTAAAAAAATAATTCGAAGACTTAATCATTCAAAATATGAAAGTTTAATAGTTTTTCATTTAAAAAATAATTTAGGTACAAGTTCATTGGGGGTTTTCTAAACTTTTCATTTATTTTTATTTTATTACCTCTCGATGTTTTACTGTTGTTTCCCTCTTTGATATCTGTTTTTCATAGATTTCCTTTACTGGACTGATATAATATTTTGCCTTTCAAAAAGAAAAGAAATTATTATCAGTTGTTTTTGATGGGTTTGTAGTCTTGTAGATATGTCGACCGATTAGAGAAATAAGATTTTGAAATTTGGAGTTAATATATAATCTAAATAATTGAAAAGCAAAAGGGGATGTAGCTCAGATGGTAGAGCGCTCGCTTAGCATGCGAGAGGTACGGGGATCGATACCCCGCATCTCCATTTACTTTTTAACTAAAAGGACTCATTTGCAGTTCTTTTAATAAATTACGGTTTTAGTCCCAGTAGTTCGGAGAGATTTTCAAAATTGGTCCTAAAACTTTAAATTTATTGTAGAAAAAACCCTAATATTTGCATCTTGTTTTGAATGTGGTCCTTCATATTAACTGCCAACCATATCTCTGTTAAGTCACATGGCAAAATGAAGATAAATTTACGGTTTTAGTAAAATACAAATTTAGTTCCTATGGTTTTAAAATTACAAGATATGGTTTTTAAAAACATTTAGATTTGATCTCTTTCTCTTATTACCATTATTTTTTTATTTTTTTTGTTTATGACCCAATCAAGAAAAAAAAAATGGTTGTCAGAAAGTAATTAAATCCAGATGTTTTTACAAACTACGATGATCATCTTGTAATTTTAAAAGTATAATGACAAAAAGTATTGTTTTTAACAAACCATAGGACCAAATTTGTAGTTTACTCTAAATTTAACAAACATATAGACTATCATTAGGGTGAGGGATTAATATCCAATAAACATATGCATATTAAGGGTTCTTTCATAAAAAATGAGTTAAATACAAAGTTGGTCTCTGTGGTTTACACAAATTAACGAATAAGGACCCTCAAAAGAATTATTAACGAGGAACGTTTCTTATAGTTTCATTTTTATAACAAATATAGTCCCTTTTCTAACTTCTTCAGTTAAGTTTATGTTAGTGAGCGACAATTTTGTCTATTCACCTTCTTGCTCTCAACTTTCATTTTCAATAACGGATTTAGTCCCTCAAACTACTTTTCATGTTATAACATATTTGGTCCATCAAATTGCTTTTCATTAGTATAAGAGATTTGGTTCCTCAAACTATTTTTAGTTTTTATAACAGATTTGGTCTTTCTCTCAATGCTCATTTTTAGGATTTGGTCTCTCCGTTTAATCAATAAAATTTGGTGGCACAAATATATATTTTGAAGTTTAGATTTTGCCATTAAATATTTTATCCTTTCAAAAATATTATTTCCATGAAACCCTTGGCTCAAATAAAATATAATTCTGATAAAATTTTGTTTTAGTTAGTTTAAAATTAAATTTAAAAAAGTTTAACAATATATTAGATAAGGAGATATAAAAGTATTAAATTTAAG